AATGTGAGTTTTGAAAAAAAAGGATAAAACAATATTCAGTTTGAATTTTACTACACATGTTAACTGAGAAGTTAAACTGAATACATTAACAAACAGTAATTATTCTTAGATATTGTTATATTTAGAAGGTTGTTCTTAATATACCGCGTATAACGTGAGCACTAGAACGCTAGAACCCTTCGAAGTCGCAATGAGAAGACAGAAGACTAATGAAAGGAGTATTATTCGCAGACAGTGTCAATTATAGTACAAAATCATCAGGTATTTACAGTTTTTAGTAAGAACGAAATCATCATTACAGTCCTCCAATCCGCATACAGGGGGTTATTAGCATTGTCTAATTTGGAAACCACACGTAGGAATTCTAGAATATTCTACCGAAAGGTGATCGGATGGAATATCTTCGGCTCCTTCTGAGCCTCCTACAGCTTCCTCGAGTTCACCCGTGGTCCGTCGTCACAGATATAAAGACGAAAATTTCTTGTTTCTAACGAATATCATCAAAATCACAGGAGAAATGACAATAAAAGTTTAAAGAAGCTTCAGTAACTAGTTTAATCAAACGCATATCATTTTGAAATTATCTGATTACAATGACTATCTTTGTGTTTTAGGCAAACATACACATGAAATAATTCCCAGTGAAAATACTTGAAACTAATGACGAGTAAATATAAAACCGATAAATATTCGTGGTTAACACTGTTCATGATTGATAGTTTGCAATACAGTTGTAATCAAAGTAGAGCTAAGCAAAAATGCGCACAAGCCAAAGTTGTCAAACTAAACAAGTACAAGATGAGTAGCAAAAAATTAAAATAACAGCAGTATCGATTATAGTTGGAAAGACAATAAGTTGAGAATATAATTCTGTTATGTTTCACTGATATATACGCTTTCTATACACGTGCCCAGATCAGCTACTAAAGTGAGGGAATCAAGATTGAATAGATGGCTTTCATTGGCTAGCCTAAGTGAGCACATATGTACAAACTTATTCCTCAGAAAATAGAGCCACATTTCCAACTAATACCGTGCATTCCTTTCCTCCCACAGTGAAGCCACACTTTGATCAATAGTGTGCATCCGCTATCATTTCCCAATTATCATTTTGATTATATCTGATTAGCCTAACTTACGAGATTCTAAAAGAAGGAATGGAAGAATAGGTGTAAAAGAAACTCAAGATCTTAGGCCTGACAAAAAGTGAATGCGTCTGGAGACGCAGTAATCGATTTTAAGGTATCTCATTCAATGACTGCGATCACCAATTACAATAACCGCGCGGAAACTGACCAGGTAGTCTACATGCCCCAAACACTTAGTCAATGAGTTCTATAAGTGATGCCATGCTCCAGATTTAGTCAACCCCATCTCTATTTAAACTCACTCCAATAATTGATGATTCACAAACTCATCAACCGATTTACCATATGTACCGTCTAAAATACTCTTAAACTAAGCACTGCTTGCTCGATCGTTTCAACATACGCCTGTAATGCTCCGAAGACAATGATGATCAAACACTAGAAACCTATGAATTCCCTCTACTTTGAAGGGTCATGTATCACAGACAGTCAAAGATGTGTAATGTAAAATTTGGCACAAGTTTGGATTGGTTCAAATTTTTATGCAGTAAATCCGTCCTTTGTTTGAGACTGACATTTTAATTACGCCAAAAGTCGGCAAAAGTCAATCAAGCTTCCTAAATCCAATCCGTGATTTTATCAGCTACTAAAGTACCACAGTTGATGAGACTCTCGAGTTGAGTGAAGTGGTCAACTATTTTACTCCTGTTAATGATGTGGAACAGTATTGAAGTGACATTTGCATTTAGAACGGTGGAAACATGCCTGTGTGAATGCTCAAAACGAACAGAAGAATCTACTCTTTATCGGTCTTCAGCAGACAAAACTATCCCATCTAATAATTTTAAGCCGATAAATGAATCTCTTGGTAGACTAATCCACAAAAAGGTTGATTAGGAATACAATCTGTGTATGTTTATGTACTTCTTCCGTACATTTTTCATGAAAAGCATTGTTAAATACTCTCACTCAACGGAGTCGAATACATCCTTACTGTCGAGATGTAGCATTCTTTCACCAGTGCTAAGTTTAAAAAAAGTCATATGTACTTTGTGTTAAGAGTAGACTAGAAACAGAGAGTGATATGAAGCTATAATTCAAAAGGGACATCAGTTGAATAACATGAGGTCATCACCACTCAGTACTCAATATCCTTACATCTGAAACAATCATAAAAGACACGTTTCATTGAAAACACCCAAACTTACTAGGGTGCAGGTACATTGGTTACACTAGAAAATAGTTAAACCTTTAGGTATCTGTTAAGACGACCTTAATATTTTCTAATGTGAATGTAAGTTATATACAACTGATTAAGCAAAATATTTAGTTAGTTGATGTAATTAACTGTACAACAGAATAAGTACATTTATATACGTTGTAACTGAAGTAGCGTTATACAAATGAACTAAGATATAGAGAAAAACCTGTATATCAAAGTCGTTCACAATAATACTGATGCATTCACTTTGTATCTTCTTCTAGATATTAAATTCCAATAATTCTACATACATGCCGTTATATTATAATGAATAATCTTTCTTATTATCATAGCTATAATATTTTTTGGTATTCATCTTATATTTATTTCGTGCTAATATGCTACAACTTAAGCCAACTTACACCAGTGCCAGGCTCTATGTTGATGGTACCTAAATCAAATCTATATTTTGTCAGACTACTGCTCCAACTTGAGTAATGGTATACCTTGCTTCACTACTCTTAAATCTGTTTTACTTAGTAATCTTTGATTCACATAATCTAAAATCACCCCTACATCGATATCATGTGTGTGGCTAATGATATTATGCAATTAAAGACGGTAAAAATAAGGAATCCTACTTCTAGATTCCGATCGGTCAATCCAGGCATCATTTTTTCGATTCTAATGTTATATTTCAGTTGACGTGTTCTACCTGTAATAAAACCCATATACATTTGAGCCACTACAGAATAGAAATCAGTCTTACATAGCTCAATAAGTAAATTCTTACTGTCAATATTTTCTTAACCTTACTACTGAAGATACAAAAAGCAGAGCCTACAACGAATAATTTGCACATGCATAAACCCAGAAATAAATTTCTTTAATGATTAAGATGAGGCTTATGATGATACCATGGTCGTCGCAAAATCTAAAAGTTCCAGGGTAAAATCTTCGTGACTGATCACTTAGGATATGAAAATAAAACAAAACAGCTGGCTGATTACCTTATTAATTCATCCATTAATATCACTGATTAAAAATAACCTAATCTTTCAATCAGGTTTTAACGTATGTTTTAAACTGTATTCAATACATTTCAAAACATATTAAAAAGGAATACAGGAAACGGATCAACATAACATCATAAAAAGGGTTTCTATTACGAGTTCGGAAGAAAGGTTGATTGTTTTGCAATCTCTACCTATGTAGTAAATAATTTATTAAAAATATATATCGAAACATACAGACATTTACTTTTCACATCGATGATGTTATAAACAAGACTAGGAATGACTAACGATAAGATTTTATTTACTAACAGTATACGATACACACATATCACTCGGTAATAAATGAAGATGTAGAAAACGTATTTCCCACTGTTCAACAATACTCATTCACTGACATTCTTCAATTCATCCAATAATCAATACATTGGTTATTAGTTTTATCTCAATATGAAAGGAGAAAAACTATTGATAAGTACAATGGCAATAGGAAGAAATGTTTTAAATACTTCAAGTAAGAATTCAAAAAGAAAAAAATAACTTTGTCATTATTATTATTATTATTATCAGTTACTAATGGCAATCGATATTATGTCTCTTTCATTATGTATTTATATAATGATATACATAGGGGACTTTTAAAAAACTTTTATTTACTTGGCATTATTGTGTCAAAATTGTTGTTTATGATAAAATTTAAAACACACATTTGTTGTTATTTAAATTAATGTTATTTTGACAGAAAAATAAATTAAATTTCATTTTCAGAATGTAAAGACGTAACATAGAATTCTATATCACACTAAATCGGTCACCCATTAGAATGCACAATCAATTCGTGTGTACACAAGTCAAAAGATTATCAATGTTGTATTATTATTTATGTATACAAAGGTAAACAAGAGAATGTCAAAAACGAGATTTAACTATTATTATTATTACACATAAAGTGGGAATAACACAGACTATCTCTCTCCGAATTTGTGTGTATGTATACTCAATATATTCACCATAGAAACTGATCGTCTGACTTAGTTTTCTGATGAAACAACAACCGGAAAAAAATTGGTTGACAAAAAACAATTGTGGTAGTATTATTTTTATAGATAATTAAGATAGTGTAAATCACATATTCCGACTGAAAATAAAAGATGAGAAATCGGAAAAGAAAACAAACAGAGAGGAAAAAACACAATGTGAAAAATGATTTAAATTTAAAACGAAGAAATGAGCAAAAAACACCAACATGCAAAATGAACTTTATACAGATATGATAACATTGTATGACTTGTACAGTAGTAAACAATGGGGTAAATAGAGATGATTGAAATTATGTAAAATTAGTTTCTGTCATGAGACGACCAGATCAGTCGATCGCCCAATGATACATATAAATGACAGAAAAGTGAATATTCGAAAGACATTGGTGTAATTTGAATGAGGTGAAAATTTGAAATATGATAACGTCTCAGTTGAACAAAACAACAAGTATATGTGTAAATGATGTGATGGTTATTTCCAAATCCCGGACACTTATTAATGTTGATCAATTCAGAAAGAAATCAAAACAATTAGCTTTTAAACAATAAGAATCTTGTAGACTATTAATAATAATTGCAACAGAATGAAGCATATACAAAAAGATGTGCGCATACGCAGTGAGTGAAGAAACAAACACAAAATAGTAGAATTCAGAGGTTAAACTTTGCCAAATACATGAGTAGTAGTAGTAACAGTATTATTAGCAGTAGTACTAAACGATCGATCATCATGTAAATGAGTTTGATTAGTAACAGATGTTGCAGAACCTGTGGTGACCGCGGTAGTGGTTACCTCATTGGTTACTTTTGACTTATTTAAAAGTTGTACGATATGTTCATGAATTTCTTTTAAACACAAATGACAAGAATTACAATGTACACTAAAGGCATGTTTATCAATTTCCATAGTCTTTAAATGCAAAGATAAATTTGTAGTTTGTTTACCTAGATTATCACATGAAATTAAGATAGTTTTAGTAAGATTTGGATTATTGCTTATATGTTCCACAATATAGGCTTCTAATTCAATACGAAAAGAATCTAAACAATTCGATAGTTCAATGAACGATGCATTAGGGATCTCATATTCCATTTCACAATAACTACATAGATCTTTAGTCCAATTGACTAATTCAATAGATCTTTCAAGTAGATTTGTAATTGATTCCTGTGAAGTAGAGTTAAGTTGTAAATTTTGTGAATTCGAATTATTATTATTATTACCAACATTTGGTAAATAGTAAGAATCTGGCGCCTGGTAAACATCGTCTCCTTCACCACCACCTGAAAGGTCTGCATCGGGTTTAATCGATATTGAATTATCTTGAGAATTGTTCGGAGAGTCAGACGCGATGGATAAGGTCTCATCCTCCAATGATCTTGGAACTTCTTCCGTATTCGATTCCTCTTCTGATCGATCATCCAGTGGTAAATGACGTCGCCCTACTCCTGGATAGTCCAGGTGTCCAGCATTACCACTAACAGCACGTTCTATATCTACTCTATTACGTCGGCGTGCCTGAGAAATCTTGGAATAAGAAGTATTAGGATGCATATCTTTAATATCAGTATCATTGTTGCTACTGTTATTATGATTCAAAGAAGATTCATCAACAACTATGTAATTCTGTTCAGACGAAGCTTTCAATTGAGATATATTTTGATTGTTAGACGATAAACAGTTGATTGGCTGGTTCATATTTGTTCCGGTCTCACTATCCATTATTTCTTTTGAATGAAAATATTGCTTACTACGTTGTACAGGAGAAATCGGGTGAGAAATATTTGACTTTGAAATTTCCCCAGTTGAAGTTACGTGCGAGCTATAAAAATAAATAGAATAAATTTAAAGAAATAAGAAATTTAAGAAGAGTTCATCAATTAGGATAAAAATCAAAACAATTAACTAACGATTATTCACAGAGAAAAAACGATGTTTTAAATGAAGAGAGTTGTTCTACAGCAGAAAATTTCGAGCAATTTTTAAACGTAACTGATTTACCGAATACAGGTTTATGTGTTCGGTTATGAAACATGCTATTCATAAGCGGTAAGAGATGTCTAAGCTGGATGTTACACGCTGAATATGTTAATTGATAACCAACCGCTCTATTTCGACAGATACTACGAATGGATCTAATAGAGTTGACTCTAATCCTCTTGAACGATAAACTCAATACAAATTTGATCTGTCTTCAAACTTAGTTATAACTAGAAAGTACATTATCTCAATATATACTAAAGTTAAAGCCATTAGGTTGAACAACAGATAAACTGAACACAGCATTCAGCATACACCAACATTCAAATCACACAAAGAGTGTTTTGGTACATTGACCAAATATTCTTTTCACTATACAAAAATTGAGTTTCCTAAATTAATCAAATAAAAGTTAATCTAAAACAACAATTAACTATACCCTTTACATCAACTAACTTTTGTCACAAGTCAAAGTAAAAATTATAGGACTATGAACATCTTGCTAATTGCAATTATTCAACCGAAAAAGAAAAGTGTGTTGGCTAGGTAGACAGTGAAAAACCAAATATTACACAATATTACAATAGAAAAATCATAAAAACCAGTTTAATAACCAAGTGCAGACAAATAAAAAGCAATCGATAACCAGTGCTTTCAGCGTAATGTCGTATATAGTTTATCAGTAATGTTCAACAATCATCTAAACAACAAGAAAATAGCGCTGAACCTATTGCATTAAGATACTAGAAATTTCAAATTAAAATCACTCTATCTGGAAGTCAGTCTTGTTGAGTCGGCTTCCGAGAACCACAACGGAGCCTCCAGAGGCCCTAAAGGAGCCGAAGAGTTCCAGCCAATCAGAACATGATGGAGCTTTCTAGAACATTAACGTGGCGTGCTATTATTGGTCAGTGGTATAATATATCTCATAGCGGATTGGCCGAAATAATGTTAACTTAATAAACGCTAATATCAATAAATACCCTTGATTTTCTACACACTTTGATTCTTATAAATAAACACTTCTCCAGCTTTTTTTCTGTCTTCTGATTTGCAACGGTGAAGTTCAACGTTCGAGTGTCGTAGTCGTAAACCTTATTCTGCGTTAATCAAGTAGCGAATTTAACAAGTCTCAGTAGTAAATACCACGAAACACAGTTCATTGGCACTGAGTATATATATACTAGTAACTAGCCTATTCAAGCATAATTGCAAAATCATGAGCAAGATAAAGGAATTTAGGGCTAATTAACAATAAAATCATCACAAAATCAATTTGTTAAAAAAAAAACACTTAAATTTCATTCATAATAAAATTTGTCCAAATAATTTGAGTGGAAAATGCTTTCTACTAAAAAAGAATGTATAAATTGGTAACGTAAGAATTTGAGAGAAAAAACGAGCAAGTGAAAAGACACTACTCAAATATTTCTTATTATGAAAAATCTATCAAATTCGTTGATTAGTGTCACAAATACGAAGATGGAAGTTATGAATAGTAATATGATCATCAGTTTTTTTTTCATTTGTGTATGAATGTATATGTAAATTAAGTTCACCGTAAACATGACCACATGTTATAACCACAAGAATATTTTGGAATTTCAAATAAATATCACATGACTAAATACAGAAAACAAACTACTTGCCTATAGAAGAATAGAATACATTAAACTTACTTATAATCTAAAATGGCTTACCTTAATTGAATTGAAGCATTATTGGTGGTAGATGTAGGAGGCAACGACGGTGAATTGCAGCATTCCATTATTGATGAATGAGGTGGGGGAGGCACCGGTGGTGGTGGCGGTGGGAGACAATGTAAAAAGTTCGATGGATAATTAAACGTTTTATCATTTACATCAAGTATATCAGTTGGTAAATTTGATTCATTTGGTTGCGATTGGTAATGAGCAAATGATGGGGGTTCGTTACAACGATGATGACGACCACCACTGGTATCTAATTCACCCAAACTTTTTAAATAACTTCCAATTCTATCGTGAGGTGGTATTGTAGAGAATTGTTCCATTAATGGATTAACATTGAATTGAGTAGATGATGAGGCAGAAGAAATATGAGTAGTAGTGGTATTGATAGTAGTAGCCGTTGTTGTAGAAGTATTAGTAGTTTGAAATAAATATGGATAGGAATGTGGATGGTGAATAACATTTGAAGAAGGAGTTATTATTTGTGCATGATGAACATGTTGAGAATGATCATCAATTGACATGGACACTTCAAACGGCTGAAGTAAGAACATAGAGAAATAAAAAATAACAGAATATGACAGTAAGTATACATCATGTATATGCAAGTAAGAGTATAGCGCATAACAATGGCCTGGAAAGAGAGTTTGTGAATACATTAGCGTCACACATATGCACAAATTCATAGAAACTTGTGAATATAAATGTTATACACAAAAAGAAAAAGTCTCAGATTCATAATTTCTAAATAATACCTCGAAATGAGTAAAGTAGATTGATTTGTATCTACTTGAAGTAATTTTTAATAAAGATTAGATTGCATATATGTGAAAAATGAAGTAGATATTAATTATCTTAAAAGTTAGTTAGAAATCAAACACTTTGAAACTTATGATCTGGTTCCTATAATTGATCACATGCTGCGGTTTGGGCACCCGGGCAGTATCCCAGCCCTCACACAAATCAAATGATCTGTGAGGTACATATATATTTGGTGCTTACTTGTACCAAAGTTTATGTGTCTAAATCAAAATCAATTGATCACCCGAAAATGTATGAAAACCAGGATCAAATGCATGTAACTCTCACGACTAGGCAAACAATTTGACAAAGAAACCAAGATCCTACGAAAAGATAAGAATAATTTCCATTTTTTAGAATAGGGTAAAATATTAAACAAAAATTTTGACAAATAGAACGTTTCGTGTGTGTATTTGTTTGAACTAATGCAAATTCAAGCTTTCATAGAATACTAGAATAAAAAATAAGATGAACTCAAAGTTCACATGATGTTTATAAACTAATGTTTGCTTTGTTGTTTATTTTTAATTACGTTGAGATGTATCGACAAAAAGAAAACGAGAGCCTAAAACAAAGAAATATTACTCACCACATTTAAACGCCAATCAACTTGACAGGGTCCATTTGGTGTTATCGAATTCACAGTAGCAATTACACCAACACCGACAGCATTACTCATTATCCCACCGCCACATGCTCGACTTTCTGCAGGAGATTCGTTCGAAATAATCGATTCACCAACACCACTTTCATCTGGTGTATCCGTATCTTGACTACGTGTTGTACCATCTACGTAAAATGGTGAAAACATTAATTCATTTAACAACAACATGGTACTGATTATATAGTGAGAAATCATGGATATAATCTACTCATTAAAAAACAGATCTCTATAATCAAAAAACAACACTTAGAAAAGACAGGATAGTTGAACGATCATGTACGTATATATATAAAATAAACAAGACCAAAAGTGTGAATAACATATTCCAATTCAACACACAATAAAATATACAAAAAAACTAAGTTGGTATTTTTTTACATTGTAAATGAAAAAGATTTGAAATAACACTTACTTTGTTGCGAACTAGTCTGAGTATTACAACCAGAAGTAACATTACGATGAATAGAACGATTCGTTCGAATAGCTGATCGATCATTCACCACTTTTGTTGAATTACCAACATTTAAGTTAGGAATTTTAGAAACTATGGAAGCTGAATTATTATTGGAAAATTGAGAAAGATTTGAATTACCACAATTTTGTGTAATATTTGACGAGGTAATATGTGAATTAGGTTGATAAGATAAATTATTACTCATTGGGATAAAGTAACATAATTTTTCACCGAAAGGTAAAAACCCATTATCAGATAATGAAGCCGGTGAATATTGTGTTTGTGTTAAACAATTTGATGAAAATGGTGTTCGACATTGAATCAAATTAGGAAATCCATTTTGGTTAGATTCATGTATGGATGTATTTTGTGGGCCGCATGGTAAAAATTTAACCTGACCTAAACTGCTAGTGGGTAATAGAATATGATCTATATTTGTTAGATAGAAAATGTTAAAAAGATTAAACAAAGAATTTTTAATTATCAAAAAGACATCAACTTACATGATTAGACAAAAATTTCAAAATTAGATAATGATGAACAATTAAACTGCCAGAAGAAAATAATAAAACAATGACTAATAACGATGAAATAGTGGAAATTAAGCAATTGATTGTGGAGAGAAGGCCGTAAAATGTATATGTAAACAACTAGCATTGATATGGATTTCTGTCCAAAAGTGAGATAGAAATTTCTCATTGATCACATGACAAAAAGATCATATCATATTAGGGAAAAGATTAAGACAATTGAGTTCTGATTTAGTGATCGAAATTAATTGTGTCTGCCAAGAAACCTCAATGTTCTGGATCACAATTTTTATAAGACGACATGTGAATACGGCTGGGAAATGTCAAAACTGGAATGAAAATAAATCCATTACTTTCTGCTTTCCAATGGCCGATTCATTAAGAAAATTTTTATGAAATAAAATGGTTTTGCGCAAACTACTAATGCAAATAATACTCGTTTGTTTGTACATTCAATTAACGACGGAGAGAAGGCCAAACAATTACTATACATATTTATGAGTCACCATGTTTAAGTGACCGATAAACCATGTGTTGCATATATATATATATATATATGATCAGCCAATTTGTACATATAATTCACTATGAAAGTACTATTGTACCAGTTCCGCTAACATGACTCACTTTACCTGCGCTCATTACTTGGAAATGCTTTTGTACACAACGTAAAAAATAAACAATATTCACTACTTTGACGGAAGCACAAAATGCAGATGCACAGATTCATACAATATAACTTTCTTACAAACTTCGAAACAAGAAAAAAAATCGAATAAATACACAAATGTATGTGTCCATGTGAATGACTCTAATGAGACAGAAGAGAAACTAGGACCAGTAAGTGAATGACAAAGTAGTTTGTGGAGAATTGTTTAAAAAAAACTGAATAAAATCAGCAAACATAGACACACACACATTAATAGCCATCAATTGCTTCAAGACAATGGACGTAAAAACAACTTGTGTTGAAGGAATAAGTTCACGCATTTTTCAACCGTCGAATACTGAGAAGTTGGTTTACATTATATATATATGATAATGTCCTTCCGAAGAATAAAGGTGACATCAACGAACTAAAAATTCACATTGTTTTCCTCACTTCAAGTGAAGAAACACTTTTTGACTAAAGGAGTTCTAATGGTTTTTGTAGAAAAAAACGAGACGTCTATCATCAATTTGCTTCTGTTTGCAATTATCAGGTGGCAAACTTAGTAAATTAATTAATATTGTAAACTAATTTCAAATATAAAGTCATCGGAGAAAAAAACACTGCTAAATAATACAAGTTACTTCACATCAAGTTACCGTCAATGATTACTATTTCGATATACATGCAAACTACCACAAATCAATTGAATTAAAGTGTATTTATACTGTTGTATAGTTGATATTTGATCAATTTCTGTTATTCTATTGAATAAGAGCATATGGCATTTAAAACGATGGATAAGAGGTTTGAGTATCAGAGTGAAAATCAACCCTAGAATATTGGTACACATAGATAACGAATCTGGAATAAAAGGAAATGTCCCTCTGGGATCCCAATGTTATCCATAAACAAACGAGACTAGAGATTTTATTGTTTTTTTTTCAATGCATATACACTTTTCCCTAACTAGCTAAATATGATTGAAATATATAAAGAACTAGAAAACTACACCTAGATTGTAGTTTTGTTATGTTTTCCAATCATATAGGTTGACGAACGAGTCCAAATACGGTGTCAGCAGAATTTCTGGTAGACGAGGTGAGATTATATGCCATGATAATGTAGATAAAAATGTCATCAGTTGAAAAATCATACTGAAGGATGATATGCAGTAACCACATACAACCCATATTGATTAGCAGGTTCTGTTTCCCATATCAGAATCGCGTAAATACCACATCAGTTATATACCTTGTTTACAGCTACGCTCATTAACAACTGGGAGTCGGATGCTGAACTGCTCAAACTATTAACCCTGAAGTTTGTGTGTACCCTTAAATATATATATATAATATTTGTGTTCAAACAAATAAATACCATTGGTGAAATTCGCTTGTCCAGAAACAATAAATGAGTCTGTCTGTGAACGATCCACTACTCAATTGGAATTGAAAAGTATTATATATTCATTAGCACCCAGGTAGTATCACAGCCCTCACACATATCAAATGAGATCTGTGTGGCGCATATGTATTTTGTGCCTCCTTGTACCAATATGTATATGTTAAAATAAATAAATAAAATAAAGTACGACTTAGAGATCGGTGCTTATGTGAGCGGTATTTTAGTGTCACTGAAGTTTAGTGATACAAATTAACATTGGCACTACAATTGTGTGCCAAACGGATGTGTGGAACGAAATACTAGTAGAACGTTGAACTCGCTAGTTTAATAGTAATTAATGCCGAAGTAGTGTCAAGTAAAACTTTTGAGGTTACGGATAAGTTGTGATGGGGAAATTATTACTCTGGTTACAAAGCATATATGTTATTTTGAGAATGTACAGGATATCGCACAGATTCCAAAGGAAAACTGACACAACAGAAGATAAAGAGGAATAGGGAGGATATCATAAAGATGTTACAAAGTACCGAAAGTTTAATCCATATATTATCTGGCTAAAATAATGTTGATATATTAAAAATTTGTTTTACGAGCAACATAAATAGGTGTGAATAAAGCCATTTTTTATTGAACACATTATCATCCTAAACGCACCCCAAACTAATAACAGGTTCTCGAAAATGAGAATTTTCTTGTTTAAACTTAATGAGGCAGTCAATACGATTTTTAAAAAATAATATATCGTTCACTATCACCTTTGGAGTGAATAGCATAATCAATAATTGACTTGGTGGGTTCTCCACTCTCACCTCTCAATTCATATTTTTGACAACTAGTTCAGTTGAGAAAAGAAAAAACAACACTTAAGCAATACTACTAGAAGGGATGACTTTTTAATACAATTATTATTAATAAGATACAGAGATGAATAGAAAACGAAAATTGAATCAAAATAATAAACACTTGCCTGGATTTATCTCTGAATTACTTTCACGTTGAACAGCATGATTATTTGAACTAGCCGGATGTTTATTTTGATCATCATCATCATCATCGTCGTCATCAATATTATCATTATCATCATTGTCATTGTCAAGTGAAACAGCAGCTAAATTATCAGTAATACGACCAAAATGATCACTGCCACCAACTCCACCGCCAGATGATGAAGGAGAAGGAAGAACTGAATGTTTAACTTTAGACAAACGATTCTGACCAATAAATATCGTCTTTTCTTGTTTTATACAATTAATATTATTATTGTTATTAAGTGAAGTAATATTATTTTCAACATGATGATGTATTGAGTGATTAGCAACAGAATTCATTGTAACATAAGATATTGGATTCGGTCGACTTGATTCAAAATTATTACCGGTGAAATCTATATTCGACGTGGAATGAATAGCATTATTATGTCTAGAAACGACATGATCCGAATTCACAATTTCTGTTGATATAAAACTATTTGGTAAAGACTCCTTGAAGACTATATTAAATTGATTTACTGAATTGCCTTGTAAATCTTGTGGTTGTATTTCTGTGAATCTGTTTGAACTCACGAGTGGTTGTTGTTGTTGTTGGATAAAATTAACAGGTTGTTTTTCCAATTCCAAAGCAACTTCTATTAGAGGAGTAAAATTAGAACAATTAGTGATTTGATAATTAAAAACTTTATATATATATATATATATATATATATATACCAAGGACCAAAACATTAATTTACGTTGACAAATAGCATGTGCATAAGTTAGTTTAAAAATAACAATAATTATTATCTTTATCATTACATAGAACAATAAAATAATGATAATGTACAGTTAAGTTACTGATGATACAAGAGATTAGTAGTAAATAAAGTGATGTGTGTGAATAGCGCCAAGTATGGAGTAACACAAACAAACACATACTAAACGAAATTATTCTTTTATATGCCTATAGAAGATTGAACAGAAATTTTCTCCTTATTAAGAAAGAAAACTGAAACTTCGTACAGTTTTGAACTATCAGATATAATCAACAAAAGATGACAATCAACGAAGAACCACAAACACTTTGCTTTTGGAACACAGCTCGACAATGTTTTACCAGATGGTTAGAAAGAATTAAATAGATAGGTAACATCATGAACACGGAGTCCAGTTTGTAACATATATGTAAGGAATAATGCTGGAAAGAACAACATGGGTTAAAGTAAATCAATAATCATGTAAAATATATGAGATGTGTCTTACAATCTGATTGATTAATGATATATTGATGAAGAACAAAGACTACAACGTGAAGGCTAGTGCCTATTTTGGAACACATAATAAAATAGCATCAAATATTACAGTATATTAGTCACATGAAAAACTGTTAGTAGTGATGGATATACATGAGAATATATATATATGAATATAATTTATTGAAATATTTCAAAATCTACCTAGTGGTTTATGTCATTTATCCTACGAAAAATAAACCTTTGAAAACATAACATCAAATTTTTATCTCCACCTATGTAAAAAAAAGCCAAGTAGTAGAATGATATGACAAATGGATGAGTAAAACTAGTGACCTTTCATAGATGGACAGAATGGCACAACTTATAAAAACATGTACAATAACTTAAATATTTAAATTTAGATATTGAAAATTCATCTCGAACGAAGAAAAGGTGTTTTTTCCAATTAAACTCTCATCAAGCCTCAATACTAAAACAGAACTTTACACTTGAATGTGAAGAATCAATACAAATTAATTGGTTGTGAGTAGATTAACACAGTAATGATAATAATACTCAGGAAATAGAATGCTAATTGGTTGGTCATTAAGACTGATTACACAACAATGAAGATGTAAACAATGTAATTCGTTACTCGGATTGATTACATAAAGACGGAGAAAAATAACAGAATAGCTAATGTAAACATGTATTTAGAATTGTATGTGTGTGTTGATTCTTGAGAATAATTGCATGTCACTAATAATAATGAAAAATGTGAGAGATATGTTTGAAATCAGTTTGATGATGAGGACAAGGCGGGGGAGGCTGTACACACACTTTTTCTTGATGGAAAGTTCAGGTTTATTAAGGTCGATTCCTATAGTTTTCGCTGAATGTAAGAAACATCTGAAAATATGGGAATTTTATGGAATTCGATATTCATTTTTCATTTCACATTTACATCGACTTGACTAGTGTCGACCAGATGTATCAAGATATAGTTTCTTATTCTTTTCATGGTTTTTTGTTCATCTATGAAGTACGATATTCCGAAATACGGTGATGGGCTTGACTCATTGTACGCTCAGTGTAACTGGTTTCACAGGACTCGTCGAATTGGCAAACACACACAAAGGTTGTTATGCATTGAGACGCTAACCAATATCACATGCTGAAGTCGCCAATCAAAATTCTAATTTTAATTTTGTCTGTTTCACGTTTACTATTTCTTCTACAGTGAAATATCCGAGTCTGACTAGTATCGTTGATCGTGAGTGGACCCAGATAACCTCTTGTCGATTAACTTTCCGCAAGTTTTTCTTTATGTCCTACCTTGTGTCCGAAAAGTCAACAAACATCTCTTATTACTAGACCTCCAAAATATATGGGTTCATGTACGAACATACTGGACTGAATCGGACCATAAAACGAAAAATGACAAGAATACACAAACCAATACATTCAGAGAAAGCTATAGGAATCGACCTTAATAAACCTGAACTTTCCATCAAGAAAAAGTGTGTGTACAGCCTCCCCCGCCTTGTCCTCATCATCAAACTGATTTCAAACATATCTCTCACATTTTTCATTATTATTAGTGACATGCAATTATTCTCAAGAATCAACACACACATACAATTCTAAATACATGTTTACATTAGCTATTCTGTTATTTTTCTCCGTCTTTATGTAATCAATCCGAGTAACGAATTACATTGTTTACATCTTCATTGTTGTGTAATCAGTCTTAATGACCAACCAATTAGCATTCTATTTCCTGAGTATTATTATCATTACTGTGTTAATCTACTCACAACCAATTAATTTGTATTGATTCTTCACATTCAAGTGTAAAGTTCTGTTTTAATATTGAGGCTTGATGAGAGTTTAATTAGAAAAAACAATTTTTCTTCGTTAAAGTCGATTTCTCGTAAAGTACAGTAAATTAAACAATATGTTAAATAAGATAATTAAACTGCACCAGAAAAGGTAAGCTGATAAGAAATATTTAACTAGATAAAATAAAATACTAGTGAAACAAAATTAACACCTATCAGTCATATAATATGCATCGGATAATTACTACGATTATTATTCATTAATGGAACTACTTACGGAAATCGATTTAATAGTGATTTGAATAAGGAAAAGCATATTGTTTCATTAATTATCACAATGTAGTAGAACAGTGTGACAGGTTAAATGGGAAAATCAATTTTAATGCACTCTAAACTGAGTGAAAAGACTCATAGGTGTACATGTTAACGCTTATTTCACGGCACAGTATGTCAAGCACAATACTAAATTCAATGTCGTTAAATATGAACATTACAGACAACAATAACTAATATATAGTAAATTAGAAAAAAATTTTTTCCTAATACAGTGTTAGAAACTTGTCAACAACTATACTTACAATGATTCATTACACAACGAATGAACTAGGAGAGAAACAGAGCATCCAATTATTTATTTTATTTAAACGCACAGATATTGGTACGAGAGGGCACCAGATACATATGCACCACAAAAATCTCATTTGATATGTGTGAGGGCTGTGATACTGCCCGGGTGCCCAGATCGAAGCAGGTAGAGCATCCAATGATTATGTTTGGCTTTAGATGTATTTAGTCAACTGACATATCGAGTACCTACGTTAATAAATTCATTACTGTTACTCGTCCAATATAGGTTTGGGTAGTCAGTTTTCGAATAGATTGCTTGTATGTAAGGGTTAATGACAATACCCAGTTATCCAAATCAAAATAGTCGATGTGGAATCCGAACTTACAGACTCATGGTGACGACGACATAAAATCACTGCATGAGCATACTATTAGGAATTCTGTGGAATTTAATACTTTGAAAATAACAATGTAACTAATAATAACCATAGATAAATAAGAGGCACAATCAATAAACAACTTTTCAAAGCAGTACTCGCTGAAGCACATAAAGATGAACAGAACACTTGGTTAACACTCATGCATCTACGCTTAGATAATAACAGCTTTTAAGGCAGCAATATAAGAAATTTCGTACCTACTATGTTAAACAAGAAAAATTCAATTCAACGATAGTGTGATGACTTATTACAAACCTGATGAAGACAAAATAAATAACAACACTGCCCATATATATATATATATATATATATATATATATATAATGAGTAGATAAGAAAATCGAATTAGTTATTAAGATAAAAGAGCTATCATATTAGGCTGGTTAGGTAGAGATTCAAGCTTACCAGCTTCAATGTTCATAGTTGTATACATTTGTTCTAGTTCTGCATGGATTTCACTGAATGAAGGCCGCAAATTAGGATCCCAAGACCAACCTGAATCAGATAGAATAAAAGAAAAAATTTAGTTTATATATCGAAAATATATCAACCACTGTATTTAAACAACACCTAAGTAAAACGAGATCAATTAATGCGATCATATCAGTTTTAGCGACCTCAATGTTACAGTAGGGTGAAGAAAGGACGAAGAATTAAATTGGAATCAGTCGACCGAGTTATAAATGTTTGTTCTGTGGAAGGATATTACATTTAAGTATAAGAAGTAATTGTGAAACAGTTATGAAAACGTTTCAAAGTTAGTCGGAGCGACACAGACACATTCATTCTCTTTCACATATTACACCTATTATTATTCAACAAATTCATTGATTTCATTTCACGGTTATACTAAATTTTATAAGCTATTTATTATTATAACTTGTATTTCTTATAGTATTTCTTTTGGTGATACCCTCTTCACTACGCTGATGTGGAAGTGGAGCATGATAGATTGATATTTTTCAAAGCACAAATCATATTGATATGTTGTTCAAATAACGAAGAGAACACTACATTCATCAGATAACAAATTAATATATTTCAGAAATTAAAGGGCAAAAACACAAGGAGTTCAATCTCACCAATATAAAAAATAGCTTTAATATTTACTAAAGATATGCGAAAACTGAAGTTAAGAAAAAAGTGAATGTCATTTTATCAGGAAAAACATTCCGATTTGAAAAATATTTGTAACAAACTTTTTTTCCATAAAAATGAACAAGAAAAACTCAACCATTTTAGATCAGTCAAAAACATCTTAAACAGAGATAATCACGGAAAAATTTTAGAAATTTTGAAACCGAAGATCTTGACTTCAATCAGTAGTGAGGTCATAAATGTACAATGTTAAGCATTCCTATACTAAGAAAAAATAGTTTTTCAGTACTCCTAAGTTTTCAATGGTTGTTTAACTTAACTTGGTTCGTGACATCAATAAAATTTGAAACTAGTTGATTGGATTTAGAGATAATACTGCATAGAATGACATATCAGACCTATATATATCAGTCTGCGAAATAATCTGAAAGAATACAGATTTACCACTAAAATGATGGTTATTACTGTTTTTATACATCAATTTTAACAAAGAAAATAAGTTTTTTTTTTAATCAGTAAATAACAACTACTTAGGGACATACTCATTAGTGAGCTATCGATAAACACAACAACAGAGAAAACATGCTGACATACACTAAGCTACAAAAAAAGAAAATCGTATTGATTCGGTGGATATGGATTTTTTTTAAAGAAGCACAGATTGAAATTCTACAAACTGGGAACAAAAATGATTGACGTACTGGTGGTAAGAAGTGGCAATAATATTAGTAGTGAATAGAAAAGATGAAAAATATAACTACTTACATCTTAACATTATAGAATAAACTGCTTCTGGGCATCCATGTGGCCGTTCCATTCTGTAACCTTTCTCTAAAAGATGATAAACATCATGCAATTCAACTCCAGGATAAGGTGAAAGACCATAGGTGGCAAGTTCCCATAGGACTACACCAAAAGCCCATACATCCGATCTACAAAAATGTACATAAAACGATAGAAGAAATATAATCAGTTACAAAAAATATATCTTAATATGCATCAATGACACTTATGAAATGATTTACTTATTAGTAAGTTCTCTGTGTGTCTACTTCTACACTGGCTAGTATTGAAATTTGAAGTAGACGGTGACATAATATACATTATATATATATATATATATATATAAATATATATATATATATATATATCCTAACTAACACAGTTGATGAAGGTTTATTATTAATTCTCAGCAACTGACATGTTATCTCTATGTAATATTATTTTCAAAGAATTTATTTGTCAGTAAACGATGAAAATCAGCTAAAAGAGAGTACACTATAATTTTTATATTTCAACTAAATACGCCAATAAATCTAACTCTTAATCCTGCAGTAATATTACATAAATGAAAGAGAATAGTATCCCAAGACCTTCTGAAAACACTTATGAAAAAACATTTCAGTGGAATAGTTTACATTCTTATGTAACTCTTACGTTTACTATATATATATACCAATTAATTTAGTTAGAATGATTAATGTACACGAAATTAAACAATAGGTTTCGATGATATTTTATTTGAAAATTATTACATGTGATCGGTTGTTATTTCTACTGATATGATGGGTATAGTCGTTAAAAAAAAACTATCTGAAGATTATTGGTAAGACAACAAATCATGCTATGAAAAATATCAGAAGTCTAACAAAACCAATTGACTTGTAACAAACTAACCACAAACAGGTACACAACAGATAATTCATTAGACAATAAATTATTGACAAACTTATTTATCTAACGATTAGGTTAATTAGCAATTTTAGTTATATTTAAAATGAACTTATCTAGTCAAGATGTATTATTTGTAAACATTAAAGAAAGAAATCCATTCATTGATGGTTCGTCGCCTTTCAGAAACAAATGTGTGTGTGTTCACAAACACAAATGAATGTAGTACCGAAATGGAATCTGTGCGCAATATTATAATATTAACCATTAAACTTATTTATAGAAAGAAGAAAAGAATTACATTTACACATTACAATCAATTTGCACCAAATTCTTTATTGTCATTCTCCCAGTGTAAACCAACGCAAATGTAACAACGTAATTTATTTTATTTTGGTAAAGGATAATGACGAACAAATCTTTATTTAATTGTTTCATCATGAGAAATGGTGATTCGCAAAGCGTGATGTTATATGAATCTGTTGACAGTCCTGATACCTCTCTTTCAATTAAAATTCACTGATGAATTAGTCACCTGGACTACTACAAAAAAATAAGGCTGATGTTTATTTTCATGCTATATGTATGCACTGTTGTTCATAACACTCGTTTTACATTGTTTAAGGAACATGGACTTATTTACCATTTAGGGCTAAGAGTTCCGTTATATATTCATCTGGCCTTATTCTGAACTGTATAGACACTTGTTTAGTGAATCATATCGTATGTAGCAACGACAATATATTTTACTTTACAGGATGCATTTAACTGTGATTACGGTCGGTCAAGTAAAGTAGGCTTTTGCTACCTGCTGGCTTGTGAAGTCTGCAACATGGTTTCCCTCAGCTCGGAGTGGACACCAAGAAGTTTGAAGTGAGAAGCAAGTTGGTAGTGACATCACTCCATACTAAAAAATACCAGAAAGTATCCTCCAAACTTAAATGAACAAGTTGGTGATAAAATTCGGGCTGTGGGGAGGTATAACGGTCGTAATTAAGTCTACCAGAAAACGAACCACCTCCACAAATTAAAATAGTCATAGTTGTTGGCTTAACAACTAGTTCTAAACAAAATTCAGCATTTAGTGTCGGGTGGTCGGAGATAATCAGCAAAAAATGCATTCTTGACAGAGTTGAGTTTTTTTAGGTCGTAATGAGATGTACTGATTTACTAAGTCAACCTATTAGTAACACAGATGACGTCGAAAAGAGAAAACACATACCACATAACAAGCTGATTGATAAGAGAAATTTAGAGGACTAGATTTCAACTTATTGGTCTAAACATAATATGGTTGTAGCAAAACTTAAATGTGCTGGATTTGGTGCCGTGTTAGGCTGAGAATATGAATTACTATAGAGTCCCAAAATTGTACGATACAGGCATTTGTTGCTTCCTAGTTTCCACTCTTTATTCATCTGATGCTTTAACTTCAGATAAAAATATCTCTTTAAATATTAAAGGATAAAGTACAAACTTAAGTTGATATTTTAAAACCCTTGAATCGATTACAAGCTTATAACATAGAAACCACCATACAATGTTAATACTTATAAAGTTGAGAGAAATCATAAAACAAATTATGCTACATTTTCAAACTTATGTTTAAGATAAAAGAAATAATGAAATAATGGATTTAATTGATGTGTTTGATAAAATTAATAATAATAATGGGGTCACTAGATATCAAATTAGAGGCAATAGATGATTAAAACAATAGAGATAAAAGATTTTATTAAGCAGAGTTCATGAGCGAGTGGTTTTAATCCAGTACTTAAAATTACCAACCTACAATTGTAAAAATTATTAAGTTGCATTCTTTTATAATATATTTAATTAAATAAGTTAAACTATGTTATACATTCAACGAAAATGACAAACGAGTCCTGTAAAATTCAGTGATGTCCAGTATGCCTATTTACAAATCACTAAGAAAACATGTCATGCACCAAATTTAATAAAAACAAACATTAAACAAGTTTCTTTTTAATTACAAAAACAGCATACTTTGATGAGAATAAATAGTAAGAAAGACCTTCAGGAGCAGTCCATTTAATAGGGAATTTAGCACCATTACGAGCAGTATAAGTGTCTTGCCGTTGCATGTAACGTGCTAAACCAAAATCTGCAACTTTGATCAAATGTTGATCACCCACTAAACAATTTCTAGCAGCTAAATCCCTAAGAAAAAAAGTAAAATAAAATAATAAATAAAACCTTTTACAAAAATATTATTTAGTTTACAGGATTTTTAAAAAGAATGTATATTAAAAATAGAATAACTACTGGTAAGACATACATTGAAAATAGATTCACATTATTGAATTAACTAACAATACGATTACATATACCAAATAAACCACAATATCTAAAGGTAATCAGCAAAGGATTGTTATATACTGATATCTTCATAATGTAAGTATATTATCCTTTAAAAGGTATTTTGTGTTATCATTACTGCATCAATAATACCTTAATTCTATGAATAAAATATTTTGGATGAAATAGTTTCGCGTAATGTAGAGCATTAAAAAAATGTCCTAATTTTATTATGTAATTTTCAGTTATTTAAAGTATTTTTCCTACTGGTACTGAATTACAATGTAGAGTAAATGTTATGGTGGACGGTGTACAAAATATCATACCGATACACGACGCGCTACACACTAACCGCTCTCCCAATCGACCACTTGAGCGAAAACAAGAGTAGGAAGAAAAGTATATTGGGCTACTGAATGAAATGCAAATGTATATATATATATATATATATATATATATATATATATATATATATATATATTATATATATATAATTTCTCTAATTGAAATCATCAGTGAATTGAAGCTAGACCATCATGGAAAACCTGGAGGCACTCACGCCTGGCGCGAGACTGATAGGTCCTCGGTTCGAATCTCGCAGGATGCGGGATCGTGGATGTGCACTGCTGGGGAGTCCCATACTAGGATGAAAACGGCCGTCCAGTGCTTCCAGGTTTTCCATGGTGGTCTAGCTTCAATTGACTCATGCTTTCAATCAGTGAAATTTCTAAAATCTCCACAAAACTCCTTCTGATATATATAATTGATCTATTTCTTATCCAATGAAATATACTTGTCCTGTAGGCCACTTTGGCATCCTGCTACTTCTGATTGGTTCACTGTATCAGTAAATATTGAGTATTTTGCAATCATGTGATTCCCGGAATGATTTAAAAATTTGGGTTCAATGACTAACCTCATGATACTAACTAAATTTCAATATTTAAAATACTTATTAGGATTAACGTCAAAAACTAACACTTGCACTACATAACATCAATAAGTTACATTAAATTCAATGTAATTCTACTGATAAGTAAAATAACATGATGCAGACAATAGTGACATTACCTACCTGTGGATAAAATTATTAGCTTCTAAATACGCCATTCCAGAGGCGATTTGAACAGCCATATAAAGTAGAGTAAGAGGGGTGAGTTCACCTGGACTACGTGTACGTAAATAATTCAATAAATTCCCATTTGGCATATATTCCGTAATTAAGTAAAGGGGCGGTTCTCGAGTACATACGCCTAAATAGAACAGTGAAAATAAACAAAATAAAAGAACGATAGAAAATATACATATTTTTAATATTTTTTTCCAAAGATCATCGTTAAAGGAAATTAAACTTAAGGGACAATGAACTGAGCACATTTCCTCCAGTATATCTGCATTAGTATTATACCGTTGGCAGTTCATGTTTAGGTCCCTTAAACAGAATCCAGTTCAAGAATTCATCCAAAAAGTGCAGAAACAATAAGTTTTATTTTCAACATCAAGATCTAGTGAAATCATGATGAGATCACGATAATCAATAACCAGAAAAATAAATCTTCATTTATTATTCAGAAAGCACATTGTACATTTGGAAAGGAAAGCTCCCGAAAACACTATAATAACAAACATTATGCGCGCACTAGTCAATAACTTCAAAGGCTGATTCCCAGACTTCTAGTGAGAAGCTGTGACTGATCAGTGAAGTTCAATCCTTTCGAGTGTGAAATGATGGATGGTAGGTAATAGATGATGGCTGCATACTGTACTCACATGAAAACAGCAAAACACGGAATTAAATGAAAATCAAAGGTTCTGAACTGATAATATCAATGATAGTAAAACAAACACAGGAACAAACTAGCGTCAAAACGCATGATTTATCAAAAGTTTACAAATGAGTGAATCTGTGCCACTATAATCGATCTTGAACCATTGTTATTTAAAGCCTTTCAGCACATATAACGACTGTTTAGTAAACTCCAATCAGAAAGTTTGCAAGTAAAATTAATTAATGCCTATTTGAAAGATTCTAACGAAATATTTTGATATACAAATTAAAAAAGAAAAGTTTAACATATTCATTCAACATATTATCTTGCGAAAAATTAAGTTTTCTACATTCTCACTATTACGTTCGTAAAATAAATTTTTTGATCCAATATTCTGCATAAAAAATTATAGAAAAACAAAGTGGATTAGGGAAAGTGTCCTCTCATTTAAAAATTTGAGGGGGCTGACCACATTCGACGAACAAAAGTGTTAATCGAAAAATATAATGGCAAACAAATCGAAATTACTGAAACCAATTTTACTTGACGATTAAATACATTTTATGAATATAAAACCATGAAGAAATATTAAAAAGTGAATAGAACCACAACAAAAACATACCTAATAATTGAACTAAATTCCTATTACGTAACTTCTTCATAATAGCAGCTTCTTTGAGAAAATCATTGACATTCAAATTAACATCTTGCTATAAAATTATTTTTTTAGATAAAAGCAAAAGAAAGATCATATAAGCTGTGAATAGAGAAAACGTGTTTCACACTAATTGTTTATAAGTTTAGCAAAAGAAAAATTCATAGATCAATAACACACAGAATCCATTATCTGTGATTCGCTTTATCAACATTTTTCTCAACAACAAAAAAAAAACATAAAAATATAACTAACTACACGAATTATTATTAGAAAATCGTACTAACAAATAGGGATGAAGTAAGCTTGCATTATAATGTGAACGGGTGTAATGAATGACTCCTAATAACAGTATGTATTAAAGCAATGATGAATGATTAACAATGGTAATTTAAATTTATCCATAAGGAAAGAATAAATAGTACAAGGTTGCTAAGTGTTGCATATAACTTTATGTGAACATATCTATAATATGAAATGGTTAAGACAATCGACATTATAACCAAATATGTAATCCATTCCGAACTCGAATTGATCTGCTATGAATTAAAAGGAATATATACTATTATAAGCTACCATTAAGCAGATATAATTTAAAATCTCCAGTAAACTAACACGTAATGGTAATCTACATCCGCCTTTGCTCAATAAGTTGTGACAGAAAATTTTCTTTAGAATAACCTGCCACAGATATCTGTACCAATTTTAATTTGATATTAATAATAATAATAGCAATAATAATAATAGTAATAGTAATAATAATAATAATGGTAAATAACTGTGAATAATAATACAAGCTTAAATGAATAATGATAGCATAATTATCTACATTTGATATCAGTGAAGTTTTGACTGTAAAAGTTTACCCCTCCAGTATATTGAAGACTATTTAATCAGCATTAATAATTGCAAAATAAGTAGTTTTACGATGATTCTACAATAACTTTTAATTCCTACGCTGCAAATTCATTTAAGTTGAAACTATTAACCATATACTATCACTAATAAATTACATACAAACCAATATACATGTACAAAGCGTAGATCAGAATCGAGTAGAGCAACCTATACACAATGTTACAATATGGTTCACTAAAATGAAAACGTAAACAGATCATTTTTACATACACTTAGTTTATTTCATTATCTTGAGGAGAGCAAGAACAAATAGAATAACGTGAATTCATTCTATTTCGTTAGTTTTTCATTAGCTGATACTTACAACCTATAATATTTTAAAATAAAAACTATCATAAAATTTTTATACTCGTTACAGTAAAATTGGATATGTATGATTGTGATGGCAGTAATGAAATTGAAGTCATATAAAGTGTTTTAAATAAATACAATATGTGAGAGGAAATCTTAAATCATCAGACATAGTAACAATAATTTATTGAAGTATATATATGTAATAACTGATTGTGTAATGAAGTAGTTGGATACAAATTAATAGCAATAAAGAATAAACATGAATTGAGATAAGTCAATCAAAAAATAAAATTCGAAAGAAACGATTATATCATTCTCACTGACAAGTATTTTTAAAGTTGAACAAAATGCAACGAATAAGAGAAAAGATACATTCGTGTATGCTTTAAAAAGTACAATTAACTTTGATTGTTTTCTTCCATAATCTTTTTTCTTGACTAACTTTTAAAGTAAAGCATATTCTTTTTTCGTGACTTTCAACATACAACAGAAAAACACATATCATTTAATCAATCTGTTAAAACATGAAATAACTTGATTACATCATCATCCAACATAAAATGAACTGGAAAAAAAACAGGATTCATCTTTTTGTTTTGTTTTACTTAAAAGAAAGAAAGCTAAGTACATTTAGTTAACAACCAATCAATTAATGATTGTTAAACAAACCATATCAGTATTAACAATCTCGAAAATAGTTCATATATACAAATACATATCATACACATATTATATTTTAGATTGTATTTTGAAAACCATCGAATAAAATTGTCTACCTATATATACTTGGTCTCATTTCATATAATAGTGTACTACTACTTATAAACGAACTGTAAACTTGGCAAATACAAATTGTGTAATCCAGATCCGAAGTTTTTCATGTGTGTCTGACTGTCTGACTATTATGAAATTCAATCATGACAGTTAGCAAACCACTACTGTCAATGAATTATCAGATTTAGCCCACACAACCCAATCATATTTAGGAAAACAAGTATTATGGTATGATAAAAATACATTGGCTCAAATATATATTATTATTAAGATAAACAATCAATCGCATCACAAAAACTTTGTGCACAAGAAATGCAAGTGTGTGTGTATATGAGGTCAACTCTAAATCACAGTCTTTGTATGATGCCTAATGCCACTAGCTGGGTAAAAAACCAAAGGTGATTCAGTGGTCCTATGACAAATGCGTTCGAATTTCAACTATATACTTGCAGGTAACAGCCCCACCTATCTTCAATTTCAGAAGCTAGTTAGCATCACTAGACACCATACTCTAAACTGTGTAACTGAAAGCTGACCAAATGAGGTCATATACTTGGTTATTAAACTCATAAAACAGTACAGAAGCAAATAAAACAAAAATGAAAACCACAAGAAAAGTCGAAAACAGATAATTGATTTACTTTTAGTGTTTTTACTGCAACAACAGAGTTAAAACGTTTCCATACAGCTTCATATACATCACCATATTGACCACAGCCTAAACAAAGTAACAAAAACAACAAAAAATAATTTAAGGCTTATGTTTGTTGAAATACGATTGCACACGGAATAACAGCCTTGTGGATAATAAATATTAAAATAACTGCTTAAGCAGACGAATGACGAACGAAGTACTGTACCTTTAAAAAGCTTCTAAATAACAATCTTTTACTAGCTAACCAGTAATGCTGGAACTGATTGTTACGCATTTGTAAAGTAAGAAGAATAAGCTTTGCAAAAACTACAATGAGTTCGTTGTACCTCATTGTTTTCTGTGCATTTACGTACACACGGAGAACTGGAAAATATTATCAGTATGGAGGTTATGGAGATAGTTGAATATTATTGAGATCAAGAACTGATCAAAGTTAAATAATCACTGAAAACCAGGAAGCCCTGGACAACTGTTTCATTCTGATATAGGATTTCTCATCAGTGGGCACCCACGCCTGGAGACTGAACCAAGTACCATCGGTTTCGTAGTAAGGGATCAACCTCTAAACTGGTAATTCCGAATTCAATAGTTGGCAAGCCCAACTTTAATCAATACACAATATTGCGAAACCACCTTTTATTATCTTTGGTGGATACCATCCTCACATCCGAAATGGCTGAGTTTCACTGGTCATGGCTTCGCAATAGAACTCCAGAAATTTCGTCTCGAAGCTAGTAACTAGTGAAGACATGATAATATGACAAAACACATCTTTACGTTGTGTCATGAAAAATTTAAGATGATAGTTAATTTAGCCGTAATGCAAAGCGGTCGATCATTTTAGTTGATAATACATCATACTTATGAGCACAGGATAATATGATGGTTATTTAGCAATAAGTAGATAGACAGATACATCCCCACTTAACACTAACTTTTAGAAGTGGAAATTACTAGGTCACGTGAAGCATTAGGTACTTGCCCGAGAATATAGCACTCATGTTTGCATTCCTTTTTAAAAGAGTCCAAATAGTATTTTCGTTTACACTATCCACTCAGAAAAATAACTTTCTTTATATCGTACCTTTTATTAACCTACATTTTGTACGTTCTTAAGAAATGTGATTAACTTCCACAAAACGCGGTGATTTAATTGTTTGTAAGGGATAAACACTTATGCAAACTGATTCTTAAATACCTATGGCCTATTAATTAAACTGACGTTTAGATACTAGGTAGCTAGTTCGAATATTAGGTTAGATATCTCAAGTTAGAGTTAACTGGCTATTATCACTAGCTGTCACACAAAAATTTTGACTCCAAGTTGAGCACATAACATCCGTTTAGTAAATAAATAATAAATAATTATAAATAATTAATATGGCAAACTAAGTTAACATAAAACAGATGAAATTTAACTAACAGTGCAATCCGAGACTGATCAGATTTCAGTCAAAAATAGCAACAACGGGATAATAAAAACCGTTTCAAATTGAAAGTATGTTAGTATAATGAGGCTAACCAGTCAATAAAGACAAATTACCAATTTATAATAAATTGGTATATTTAACTAATGTATATGCCAAATTTGAACACTAGATACTCCAAGAGTAAGTCACCTTTCATCATTATATGCAATTATTTTCCATCCTATGTCAATGAACTGTGCAATATAAATGGAATGAAAAATCTAGGAATACCAATGAACAGGAAAATAATTCACTTTCTTTTAATTGAATAAAATAACCCTGTCGGTTTTTACATGAGCTATATAGAAGGAAAATAGTTCCGTTACTGATCGACATTACAGTAGTTTTGCGAATAAATAAGGTTTACATTGTCTACGATAATACAAAAATGTTTGTGAAATCTTTAAACCACTTATAATAAAAAGAAAAGATTAACCGCTATGAGTAAATAAAAGTTATAAGTTCAAATGACAGAATCTTAAGTGAAAGAATAAACCTTAAAACACTTCAAAGACCAAAACGAAAGATACCTTGATGAGACTTATATTAAACAATGTTATTATTTGAGCTAGTCACATCACATTGCTTGAATGGTTGACTAGAAATCGAAACAAATTACTTTTTATTGTAAACTGAGAACTCGTGAAAATAGAATTATATGCAAAATGTTAAGTTTCGGATTATAATAAATAGTTAAAGATTAATTATCCTGAGATTTCGTCAAGTCACCCCCTAGTAAATTCGTCTCCTCATCAATATACTAACTAACTAGAAGAGAAAACACGCAAATGTCTAACAAAACAAATCTAAATTCTCTGGATAACAACTGACATATATTAAAAAGCCTATAAAAGATAACAACCTGTTCACTTACCCAATTTTTGACGCATAATAATTTCGGACCTATCAATTTCCCATCCATCAAATTCCATACTTCCGATAGAATCACTACAAGCACTTAATCTTTCTGAATTGGTTATATGACTTGGATGAAATGGTCTGGGCACATGTGATACGGGATTTATATGAGTTAAAGGGAAGTTAGATATTTCAGCATTTGATTGATGAACAATGGGATTGACTTCAAACTGATTTTGACCAGGTATTCTTGAACTGGGTAGTGTTTGAGGGACAGATGAGTAGCAAGATTGTTGCATGGGTTGATTTAAAAATTGCGGTTTCGGTACTGAATAAAGAAGTGGACAAACCAAACCATCAGCAGAACGAGAATGGTGCTCAATTAGTTGAACGACGGTCGGGAATCGATGAGCTTCCGTTATATAGAACTAAAATTAAAAGAAATGTTTTAAAAATACTTGGCGATATGAATCTGGATGATATTAAAAACTGTTTTTATTGTAACTGAACAATGAGTTTAATTGTTAGATGCTGCACTTAATAATATCTCTCATATATCAAGGTCTTAAGAAACTCGAAATCATTTACACTACGATTTTATCGAATCTCGAGAATGTCTGCTGAATTAAGGATATAAGTTTAAAGGATGTTACGTTGGAAAATCCCTCCCCCGAAATAAATAATCAACGAGAGTTAGCAACTTAAAGTGATTTTTTCACCATGAAATATAATCAATTGATGAAAATAGTCGCAAAGAAAACTGCTCTATTCTGAAAAAAACACCTCGTTAATAGTACAGAAATGAATACTCACATGCATATTTTAACGAGTGTGACTCCCAAAGATAAACAAGTCACTAGTACGGAAACAAACAATTAATGTATAACCCAAACAAAATAAGAAACCGGTGACACCGTTTCAAAATACCGAGTTTCGATGGTTTAGATATGTGTTACGATTGTCATCCCAGAGAATTCTATATCAAACATTCTTTTCCAACAGTAGGATTGGGTAGAAAAGGCGAAGAGGTGGTTAAACTATGACATAGCGTCGAGGTTTGAAAGAAAGCTGTATTGGACTGGAATTATTCGGCCCATCACGAATCTACAGTTGGATTCATAGACGTTATTAAACATGGCTCAAGATATAAGATAAAGACGTTCCCGCGACAGCTTTTTTCCTACATTCTTCGCAAAAGTGAAACTTTTTCGAATGAAAGAATTCTTCCCAATTGCAACTTTTTAACTGCACTTATCTTTATTCATTTGTCTGTTTTGATTATACCCCTCTCCTTAGTCCCATAGTTTATTTTTGTGCCCATTCTTTTTTGAAATAATATAATTGAGAGCTCTAAAGCTGCATCTAGTAGCCCGAAACCTACAGTATATTCACATAATGAATAAATAATGTTAATTAGTATAATGAAACCTTACAGTAAGTGGTCATTATTGTCAAATCAAAATAACTTATAAATATCAGACCATTTAAACAACTTCAAGTAAAATAAGTTCAGTATTATCGATATCTAACGAAGGAAACTATGCACAAAAGCAGAAAATAACAAAAGTGTAAAACATGTCGTAAACTTATTGATATATTATTTTCCAATGAAAAATATAAACTACTTAGAGAAAAAAAGAAGCCATGGATTTCTTGGAAGATAAGGCCTAATGACTAATACAAACTGTAACAAACAATGTCGCAATATGTATAATATCGATTAAAATCAATTAGTAATGAACACACACTTAAGTTAGAATATTTTAATCACGAGAAAAACAGTATCTCATTCACATAAAAGCATGACAAATAATTGCCTGTCGAAAAGTTTGTGTGTACATGCACCAAAAGAAACAATTTCAGGTTAGAAATGAAAATCTCGAACAACTGTTGTCGACAACACAAAATGTAACCTTGTAAATTTTTTAACATTGATTTACAGTAACTTTAAAAACCAATTTTAAAAATATAAAAATACATGAAGTTTTAATAAACAAATATATATATACAGTCACTAGAAACATATACAGAAAACAACTAATTTATGTGTACTGTTGATCATTTAAAACAGCTGTCAGAAAGTCTCTTTCAGTCTTGGTAAGCTTCTAGAAATGATAAAATGTATATTCTTGTACTCTATTTACTTTAAAAATTTCTTATATACACATTTATTGAATAAATCGATTGTGTAGCATGAGGGTGCGATTATGAAGACACATGTACAGTCATATCTCATTAGTGATGAATTGACATTTACAAAAGTACAGTAGCTCACGTAAATGGAATTGAACTAAGTGGAAGAAATCTAAAAAAGACTTACTTTGAGTTCTCTTAATGTAAAGTAACAAATGCTACTGACCAATGCTCACTGGTTTTGATTGTTCCTCTAAATGGTAGTTTCTTAATCACAATTATTTTAAACTGTATATTCATTTCATTTTATCAACTTACATTTATTTTATTAAGATCATGAACCGATTTAAGTTGGACCGCCGTTGAAAACACAGATGAATTGAACGATCATTTCGCGCAATGTCGTAAATTGTTTGAAGTTGGACAATAGCGCTGTTGGATGGAGGTTCATTGGTCTACAGGCTAAGCGTTCGCTTGCGAGACCGAAGGTATTGGGTTTAATCCCCACGTGCGGTGTCGTGGATTTGCTCTACTGAGAAGTCCCATACTAGGGCGAAACGGCCGTCCAGTGCTTCCACGTTTACAATGACGACCTAACATAGATCGGTTCATGATTTCAGTGAAATTCAACAATCTCCACAAACCTACATTGACAATTACACTATTTTTGTTTAAATTGAGATAATTTTTTCGCTTTTTTGATCAACACAATTCGAGTACCACCCAACTGATTATAGTACAAATAATGGAAAGAACTTCGTCTCAATAATAAGCATTACAAATATACAAAATTCAAGCATCCCTAAATCATATCAAGTGATATATTTTTAGTCGGATTAAAATTAGTATTTTCTCCTTGTTAAATGCTAGGAGATAATTCAACTAAACGATAAACTGAAAAATTAATTTCCGGTTAGGTTCTATGTATACAGTAAAAATGGATATCAACAGTTGGCGAAATATTATACAGTGACAGTTCAACCCATATGAATAACATTGCTTATTTCAAACTAATTTAAGACTATATGAACAGTTCTGAAAGAAAAGGGACAGAATATGACTAGCAAAACCCAGTAAGCAAATCGGATTGACTTAATAACATATCACATGTGATTGCAAAAACATGATAAGAAGATATCATTTAATTAGTTTAAACTTTTGATTTTCACTTGACTAGGTAATTTTTAGGCCATGACAGATAAATTGTTATTTGAGAAACCTTTTTCGGAGAGCACAAAAATAGGACTGAACACTAACTATACACATAAAATTATCCAACAGTCTTAAAACATTTTCTACCTAAAAGTCGACCTTTTGAAATATACAGATGTATAGATATGGACATGTTTGTTTGTGAACAACAGTCAGAGAAAATATGTCAACGAATATATGTTTAATAGATGCACATGATTAACTGTTACCCTTTATTTAAAAATATACAGTTCTTAAAGTATGTGAATATAAATTAGATGGTAAACTTCAGGACAGAACTAGATATATACACATTTACGTGTACCATATATATATAGGAATCAGTATTACGTAACTTTGAATGGTCGATTACTGTGTAAATGTAACATAAGTGCTTCATCTAAAATAAGCAACTTATAAATCTCCCAGTAGATTTTGTCATGTCTGGTGAAAATATAGGTTATACTGGAAAAAGATCGACAATTCCGAATTATAATCTTATAAAAATCAAATGAGAAAGGATGAAGTTCAATTGACATTGTACGGACCATTCTGGACAAGGCGAGTCCACCTAGGAGAATCGGAATGGGATCGTAATGTAGATTATATTTCAGTATTCCTCTGGTTGTGTAGTAATTAGCCTACAGCTAATGTATAGATTATGTTTGTGGCCAAGTATATCTTTACTGATCATGGAAATGATAAAGTTATGTAGCTCATATTTGCTTTCTTATACCATAAGCACTAAAAAAATCAAAGGAAAACAGTAGTATTTCCTTAGAAATTTTCAGTTTCATGTAACCCAAGGACAGTTTTCTATAATCTAAAGGTTTATTGTGTTCCAGACGGTCGTTTCCGTCCCGATGAATCCTGTAATCGCTATTGTGCCTTTTAAGAGTGTGCAATATTCTTTAGGACTCCAGTTATCCCCATCATGAGTTTGCTCGGGTCATCAACCTACCAAATATTTTTAGTATTTATGTTGACTAATAGATAGAAAGAGATGATAGTATTTTCAAAGTCGTCACACTCGTGAGCGTTTCTCTGGAGCAGAAGGCGATTGACTGTGTAAGTCACGAAGCAACAAACATAACAATATTCTTCATTTTATGTAAACGCGTAGATACACTAATTAATCATTAAGTACTAACCAATGCCATGTTTATCTAATTATTAATGCTATTCGAACTTTATAGATCGATTTGTTCTGTGGTCACCAGTATGTTATTCGGCGTCGCGTTCATTGTTTTGATTTTCTCAGTGATTAGGCAAAGTCAGGCAAGTAATCACGTTCTTGTCCTATCTGTGGACTCTGACAACATGCATTTACCCCACGAAAATCTAGAATATTAGTCAATAAAGCTAACACCATTTAAGGTCGATGCAGTGAATGATCCAGTCAGTAGTTAGGAGAGCACTTTCAAGAAACTAGTCTCGTTTGCAGAAAAAACAAAGCTAGAAAGGAAGTGTTTGTGATATGGATGATGAGGAATCTAATGAGCAAGGAAGGCAACTGTTAAAAGATTTAATTAGTACTGGAGATGTGAGGCCGACCGGACGGGCTTGCCTATTGTGATGACCCAACCGAGCTATATTGGCTGGAACATATGTTCCTGTAGGTTCTACCATGCCAGGCAGGTCGATTGGAGAACGGTAAGACTAAAAGCAGCAACTCAAGGTCTGAGGGCGAAGTCGTACTGCTGACTGTAGAGGGGTGTGACAGCAGTAAGGTGTTTCCCTCGGACAACCAGCATGACAGCGATGCTGCCTTCCCACAAGGAGGGGTGGGGTTAGAAAAGGTCGACCCTAAAAATGTCACACCTCACCTTACCTCACGGATTTCCGTCTCCGGCGGTAAGGCCCTTTGAAGAACGGAGCTAACACGTCAAAAACCTTCCACAAAAAGGCCGTGCGCGACCGGCCTCAAGCAGTTGTCCCTTGGGCTCTGCGGTCACGCTCCCAGGTCGTCAAGACCAACACTAATCCAATTTCCTTTTCAGGTTCCTCAAGAAATACCCTTCCACGGTGTGGGCAGCCGGGAAGTGACATCAGCCCTCATACCCGTAACAGCACAAGAGACCAAGGTGGTCACATTCAAATCCTT